TTATAACTATTTCTTTTTTTTCAACATTTCCATGTTTGTAAATTTCTTTTTTTAAATTAGTTTAATATTAAGGTTCCAAATAATTACAAGAACCATATTTAGAATTTTTAGTAATTTTATTTCTTTTGTAAATCTTGTCTTATTTTTGCATTCTAAATATCTCCCATCATAATTGATTATCACAATAAGTTTTTATTTTATTTCTCAAATAATAATCTAGATTTTTTTTAATATTAATAAAAATTAAATGATAGAATTTGAATTTAATTGAGATTATGAAATATAAAAGATGATAAAATGATAAATAATTACATTAATTAATTTAAAAACAAACATGAATATCTTAAATCAAAAATAAATATAGGAAACATAAAACACAATATGCAAAATTCATAATCTAGAATTTATAGCAGTTGATTTGAATTTATAAGATAAGGCATAAATTTAATTTTTTTGTGGTAAATGCTTAGTTGAGAAGTTAAATAATAATAAAGTGACCACTATAGAATAATCAAAAGAGAGAATCTAAAAAGTTAAAATTTAGTAAAAAGATGTTAAAACAAAAAGAATTAAGCAAGGCTAGCCTATTATAAAAATATATTAGATCAAATTATGGATTTCAAAAGATTTGTAGATGATTCATTAGATAAGATGTATAAATAAATTTAACAATACATATTTCCAATTTAAAAGGAAAAATAAGAATTAATTGAATATGAATAATAATTAAATTATTTTGAAGATTTAAAATAATTATCACAATTATATTCTTCAGAAGAATAAAAATCAATTAAACTATAAGAAGATAATAATTTTATTAATGAAATTTCAAGACAATTCGAACTATTGTTCAATTGTTCTGAATACTTTTAAACCTTAGATACGTTTAAAAATACAAAAGAAACTATAAAGGATATTATGTAAAATAATGTAATTGAATTACTTCCTTTTGTGAATATCAAAAAAAATGATCCGGTATTATTAATTTATTATTAGTAGAAAACACCAAGTTTAAATAGAATTTGTATCAATCATAAAAAGGAAATTATTATGATTGATATGGATTCATAGAATAAGAAGATTGAAGATAGATTTGTATGCGTTGATTGTATTTCTTAGAATCCCTAAATTAAATATCAAACTATTGAAGATGTAGATAAAGAATGGATGGAATAAAATACAGAGACTGATAAAATATTAAAGGAGTACAAGAAAGAAAGTAGGATTAAGAAATCTGAATTATTTAACTAAATAGCATAAATGAGAAGAATTATAATAAAAAGTTAAATGAAATTAGTGAAAAATTGATTGAAGAATCATTCTTATGTACTGATGAAATTAAATAATCAAATTAAATGAAGAAAATGTCAATTTAAGCATTAGATGATGAATAATTATTAAAAGATTTAAAGCAATTGATTGAAAAGGAAAAAGAAAAAGTATCACAAAGTTAAATCATAACAACTTTAAAAAATAAAGATTCTATTTTTAAAAAGGATATTACATCTTAATTAGAATCTTTGTAATAATAGGATTAATAAGATATTTAATAATCATTTGATATTCTCAAGGATATTTAAAGTATTAAATTTATCAAATTGTTTATAGTGGAAAAAAATTTAATTAGTCAATTAACTGGGGTGATCTAAGAAATCTAAAAATGCGCATAAAAGGATGAAAATTATAAAAACCAAATTAATTTTACCAAAGAAATTTAAGAATTAATCGATTAAGCTAAAAAATATCAATGTCAACTGCATCTATTTGATTAGGCTATTACTGTTTATTAATAGCATATTTAAAAGATTGAATACATTTAAGAAAATATATAAATTAAATCCAAAGATTAAGCAGTTAAATCAGAATAATTGAAGTCTTAATACTCTAAATTATCAAATATTTTGAATGAATACAAGAAGATATTTGATAATAATAGTACAGAGTTTAAGAAGTTTTGTAACATTTAATAAATGGAATTGGAAATAATTAAATTAACAGAAACCAATAAAAATATAGAAATTGAAAGTAATTCTATATATTTTAAATAGAAAATAATGTAATTAATTCAATGGAAGATTCATTTAAGTAGAAACTCAGTGATTTAAATTCAAAGCTAGAATAAAAGGAAAAAGAATTATAAAATATGAAAGAATAATATTAATTAGCAATTTAAGATAATATAAATCTAAAAAAGTAATATGAGTAAGATTAGATCACAATGATAAAGAAATTTGAAGATGACTGTAATAGATTATTATTTTATTCTATAGAAAAAAAAGTAAAATAGGACTTTAATGAAAATTTAACATAATTATAATAAGCATTAATCAAACTTGATTAAATTGAAAAAGTTAAAATAGAATAAGAAAAATAAAACAAACTAGAATTAGAAAAAGTATATTTTTAATAAATTTATTATATTATTTTTAGATTCAATAATATAACAAATCATTATCATTTTCAAATACTTATAAGCATAATAATTGTTCAGTAAGTGAAGCAGGAAAAATTTTAGAATGTAGTGGTGGCAATTGGATTTATTGTCTTTGTGAATAAGCAATTCCAAAGACTGGCAAAATATAGTTTGCATTTTAAATTATAAGTGGATCATCTTTTATGATCGGAATAGGATTTAGAGAGATTATGTAGAAAAACAATTATTTGAATTGTTATTAAGTTGGGTATGGGTATATAATTAAATTATAATAGAACATATTTAATACAATATAATGGTTAAACTTATTCTCATCATAACAAAGATATACATGGTAAATAACTATCATTCTAATTTACAACAAATGATATAATAATAATTGAAGTATGTATTGAACATAAATACATTAAATGGATTAGATAGAATAATGGATAAGCAACATTTGTTGTAAATATTAAATCGATTATTAGTAGTTGGATATAGATACATCATAACAATTATATCCATGTGTGGGTAGTTTAAGTAATTGTAAAATTAAAATATTGGATAATGTACCATTTTTATGATGAATATATTATATAAATAATCTAATATTTATATATCATCCTAAATTATTTTATTTAAGAAATGTTGTGGTTGTATTAAAAAAATACATTATAAATATTATAGGTATTTTTTGCAGCACTTTAAGAAAACTTGATTTAATGCAAAAACTTATATTTATAAAGATTGATTCTGAGAATTTCGTTGGTTTTGAAGCTTTTTGATATGAATTAGTGAATGAAAAATTTGTTTAATTTGATAATTGAGAAAATTTATGATAAATATTATTTGGTTTTATTGCTCAATATAACTTCAAAATTTCTTTTTGAAGTTATTTTCCATAAAATAAGTAAATATTTTTTTTCTGAATTTTTGGGATGATTAAATTTGGATACTATTAAGAGAAGGAATAAAAGGTTTGTATTTGTTTATAAGTAAAAGGTAAAATTTAACGGAAAATTATCTATGAAATGGTAAATTCTTCAAAGATGATGTCCAATAAATTTTTAATATTCATAAAAGAATACTATTTAATATTTTTTAATATAATTTTTAAGGATTTAATGAGATCACAGAATAAAAAACTATGAATAAACTTCTATCTATTTCAAAGGTAGACTTGTGAGAAATTTCTTAAACTTTAAGGCTTATTGAATTATCTGATTCCTGTAAAAGATATTTTTCTCTTAATAAACTCATAATTTACTCATATCTAAATTTTATTAATAAGTCAGAAATGAATAGGATTAGTTTAAGCTACTATTTCAGATGAAACTGGAATCAACTCCAGACTTATAAATAACATTTAATTTTGGAGCATAAATTAAAAATATAATATACATTAATGAAATAGCTTTACAGATTTAAGTTCAAAAGTTTTATCCCAAACAAAGAAGCAATTTCTTCGTGCATATTTATCATTCTTTAGTTATATTAATCTTATATGACAATTGTAATAGATTAAGCGCCGATATTATATTAAAGTCTCTCCAAACCATAAAAAGACCTTAAACTATATTCATTCTTTGTAATAAAACAGTTCTATCAATTTTAATGCTCTTACCTTTCTTTTGACATTGCCTAATATTTCCAAGTCAAAAGTATTCAACTTGGCCAACTTAATTTAATCTTCCAAAAATATTAAATAATAATTTAAATTTAATTTTCATTTTATAAAAATCGGTTCATCTAACCTATGAAATATTGTATTGGCAAATCTCTAAAGCCTTCTTCTATGATAAACCATGATCAAGAGTTCTTTTTAAACCTAATTTAGATTAAATATTTAGAAATTGCTGGTTTTTTAGTTATTTACAATTATTACAATTACGATTTCTTATCAGAATCTTTTAGCAAGGGTAGTTTAATTTCTTATTAATAATTATAAAGAATAATATCGAAATCATTATATCATGATTGATGATTTTGAATTGAAAATAAGATTATTAAATCTTCCAATAGACTTAAGTAAATCAATACTAGGAAATTTTATTAAATAATTAAGGTGCAAATAAAATCCTTAAAAACAGCACAGACTAAAAAAAAAAAATGAATCACAGGTATTGTTTTTCTATAGTTAAATAAATGAAATAATTAATTAGACTTTTAGTGTTTGGGTATGAAATTAAGTTTTTAATTAGATAAATTCATTCTCAAAATCCATGTTCACTTTTTAAAATCCCATAGGACTTTTACATTGCTTAAGCTAGCCATTTATATTACATTTGATATGAGATCATAATGATTTGCCTTAATTGCACATAAATTTCAATTGGGGAGATTGAGTCTCATTCGGATTTAGCTTCATTTCTAGTACATATTATTTAGATTGTTTTTCATCTCCTATTTAGTTTGCTTCCTAGAGGCAGTGGATTTTAGACCATCTATAGTGTAGTATGCTCCTATTCTTGAGTTCTCAAAATACGTAATCTTTGTAATCTTTTCCCAGTTTTATTTTATGATCTTTGTGCCATTTTGTGCTGCCATCCCTCACTCAATTTGTGTCACTAGTATATTCCTCTCTTTTATGTTAGAGGATTGACCCAAAAATTGATCTAATCTCCTCAAACATAATGCAAAGGGTTCAAATCCAATAGTATTTGGGATCCTATTTTATTATTCTTCAATGTCTTTAGAATTATAATGAGAGATTTTTATAAAAAAATTGAGCTTTGATATTCTGGAAAGCATTATTCAAAGATGGATTTTTGAAAGGAATTAATTAGAGTATATCATATTGAAAAAATCATAATGAGGTATAATTAATGATACTAAAATTTTTCTTATGTCAACCCTAATTAAATCGAGACAATAAAAAATTATCATATAAAAAGTGAGATGATTTTGAATTATGCCTATTAAATTCCTAATTAAGGTTATTGTTAAAGTGAAGAAAAAATTTGGACATCTAAAAGATGGATAATATTAGCTTATGGGTTAGTCTAAAATAATCAGAAATGTAAAAATGAATTTCTAATTGAATAACGTACTTAAATATTGATCTCATAACATGATTATACTAACAATTCTATAATTTACTTTTTAATAGATTTTTATAAAAATCTAAATCCATTTTTATCTAAGAATAAAATTTATGAATTTGAACTATTTTACCCTTAAAAAATTAAATTTAATCATACTCTTTTGATATTCAAGATGATCAATTACCTATTCTCCAAATTATGAAGAAGAGTGTTATCTCGAAAGCTCGTTTAAATAAAAGGAAATTTCTATAATTGTAATTAATTTAATGCAAATTTATAGATTAATATATATCAAATATTATGAAAAATATCCATGTTTCAAAGAAATGTTGCAGATCTTGAATAATCTCAAAAATATTTAATTATTTACATTTATTCGACCATATTGCTATATTTACATGTAGAGAAAATTATAGAAATAAGATTTTAATAAAAACTATGAAATTTCTTATTCTTATTTTGCAAGAAAAGACTATTTTCTAATAGTAATTTGGCTATCTAAAGAATTTCTTCTTGTTTTCACTTCCATATCGTTCTTTGTATCAATAATCGATATATTTATGTTTACCAGAAGGGCTTTCGTTTATGAATGTAAATTATGCATGCTCAACTGACTATGAAGCCCAAAATTTTATTCTGTCCAGGAATCATTAAAATTATGTTAGTCTTTATTTTGCAAGCTACATTAAAAATAAAATTTATATTAGATGTGGAATTTTATTAACAATAATTTAAATTACATTAATAAGAATATTATTTATCCAAGAAGTAAATAATTAACGTTTAAGCAATTAATCAGAGCTAGCAGAAATTTAAAAAAAATATATATAGATTTCTTAAAGTTATAAATTTCTCAATTCATATACTATAGGCATTTATTGATGCTTATTTATTGTAATCATATACAATCTTTTCATCAGAGTATAAAATATTAAATAATTGCCGGGTTCTAATTAATCCTTTATCCCACCCTAATAAAATTTGCATTTGTAGGGGATTATCTCATTACAAAGAGCTTGATTTTTCTTTATTTCCAGAATATTTAGCAAATAAAAACTATTTTCAATATAAATAATTTAGTAAGCTATATCTTCATTTCATAAATTAATAAAAAAATAAATATTATTGATATAAAAATCTAATTTGCGTATATATGGTGAATTATTATTCTAAGATCTTATAAATATGTGTTAAAAAGGCTCTGAAATATTCTTAATAGAAAAAATAAAGTTTAAACAATTCAAATTATTGATCTAATCCAGATTAAATGTAAAACACTCTAAAAATTTTTTAAAGTATAGGTAAAAAAGAGATGGGGAAAGGATAATCCTAAATGACGTCCCTTATTTAAATATACTTTGTTTTACTTTTCCTGATAATATATGTATTCCTAAATTAATAAAATAAAAAAGCTTTATAGTACAACAAAAACTCCATATTTTCAATTTAATATAAACCTGTCCATTAATCTTCTAAATTTTTGAATGATTTTTGGAACAAGTACCAAAGGCCGTAAAATATTAATTCCCCTTAGCAACTCCTAAAGCTAATTTCCAATCTTTACATTTTGTTTTTGAATCATAATTACATTATTTATAGTAAATACTCCTATTTGGGCTTTATTTATTTTTGGCTTTCTCTATGTACACCATAGAAAGCTTCTTGTTCGGGGTTGGGTTTGGGTTTGGGGTTGGGTTTGGGGTTGGTAAAGTCTACATATAATTATAAAAATAATTATATTCCATGTACGGTTGGGGCTGAGATAAGTGGTTCCCCAAACATGACGTGATTTTTTTTCATATATTTTTACATACAAAATCCAAGGTTTTGTTAAGAAAATAAAAAACAAAGGCCAGGGTCTAAAAGCACCTGGGTGTTTT